CAACATGCTGAGCATGCAAGCGCGGTCTGCTACGGAGCTGGTGGAATTAACGGTGCGTTTTGACGTGAGCGCTCTTACCTGCTGAAGATCAAACTGCGGCATTGGTTACGGGGATAGTTGGCCGGGGAGGTTGGAATTTGCAAAGTGTGGGTGGAGTGCAGGTGATTCGTCTTTCCCGCGGGAGAGGAGGGGCTGTTTTACATAAGTCAAAAAAATAGTAACTTTATATCAAGAATGAGACTAAATGAGACCAAATGAAATCACTTTCTCATTTTTTTCAAGTCATGGTTTCATTTTAAGATCTGATATATAGTCACTTTGCATGTTTTTTTAATGACTAGTCCCAGCGGGATTCATGCCAAGAAATGTATGAAATCAGATCAAATGAGACCAAATGTGAAATTCATGATTCTGGCGGCCAGTCTAGTAATATCTGTGTTTAATTTATTCAAATTTTTATTTTTTAAGTTATTTAAATAAATCAGAATTGAGTTTTTTATATTAATTACAGAGAGTCTTTCTAAATACTATTTATATTCTTTTTTTTAACATAATTTATTTATTTATAAATTTATAAAAGATTTAAGTTTTTCTTTTCAGAGAGATATTTTCATATTCAATTTTTTCAATATTTAAAAAGAAAAATAGATTTTTAATTATTAAATAAAGCTTGTATAGTTAGAAGAGTATTTTCATTAAGAAATTATTTTCATTTTAATTAAGTTATTTATTTCAATTCAGTTCATTTTCTGAGTTAATTAATAAGAAAGAAGAAGGAACTCTCTCTCTAATTATATAATTTAAACTTATTTTTATAACTCTTAGAGTATAATTTATACAGGCTTTCTTAAATTTTATTAGTAAGATACTCTATATAAGGCCATGTGACTCACACATCTATTTATTAGAATGCTGCGCGGCTAGATTAGTGTATAATCAATCAATCTTTCACCTTTATCAGGTTATGAGCTCTTGACTGCTCTCACGGCATTTTAACTACATGCTTTAGAAAGAGGTTGATTTCATGAGTCTTCTATGACAGTGAACAAGATAAGAACTTGACAGAATAACTAGTAAATAACTAGAATTTGTATTCAAAGATTAATAAAGCTCTTAAAATGCAAGGCATCAGAAGCTCTCAATAAGAGGTATGAGAAAGCTCTTAAAATATAAGGTATCAGATGCTCTTAATAAGAGGTATGAAAAAAAAAGAGCTCTTTGCAAAAGATAAAAGATATAACATATCTCAATCTTCTTTATATATGATCAAATCAGCTTTATTTTTAACTACAATTAAGTAATTCATTCTATCAAACACTTAAGGCCTACTCTATATGAATATTCAATCAATTCTTTGATAATTAACTAAGACTGCTCATCAAAGTCATGCCAGAATCAAGAGTCAGAGTCAGAAGTCATGTTAATATCAGAGTCAGAGAAGTCAGAGCTAGAGTCAGAGCTAGAGTCAGTGCTAGAGTGAGAGTCAGAACTTATAAGATGAGAAAGATATTTTAGACTATATAAGTAGAATATTCTTGTGAAGAAATTTCAGAGAGAAAAGAAGAAAGAATAAGAGATATTAAAGCTAGAAGTTAGAGATTAATTAATATAATATAAGAGATCTTTGAAGAGGAAGAATCAATGAGATAACTCCGCAAGATTTATATGTAATGTTCACATCAGCTAGCAGATGCTTAGGTACTTGTGACTAGAGAGAGAGTTGACTGAATACTCTATATAAGATTATATAACTCACATATCTATTTATTAGAATACTGCATAGCTAGATTAGTATATTATTAATTAACCTTTTATCTTCATCAAATTTGACAGTAAAGAGAGAAATTAAAACTTTAATTTTCATTATTTTAATAAAAGATAATTTAAATGTTTTTAAAATTCTTTTCAAGACTTTATTTTGCAGACTTTGAAAGAGTTCAGTGAAATTTCTCTGATTATTTTATTAAACTTAAACTTTCCAATCAGTTACTGAGATGATACAGATTATATATAATTATTTCGTAATCTGAAAGAATAGATTTCTCTCTGTATTTAATAATCTAATTATATTATTTAATAATCTCTTTATTTTGATAGTTCTTTGTTAAATATGATATTTAAAATTCA